GCATGTTTCCTATTTTTATCAACTTTTGTGCTTTTAAAGGTCTCTGTATGGTTATTTCTTGCCACAATAGCATGAAGAATGGATTGTGTTCGGTCATCATCACCTTCCGAGGAGACACCCAAAGCTTCACTGACCTCGCCAATACTATCAAACACCTAGTCCATACCCAAATCGTTTGTCGTCTCTAGGCAATCAGGGTGCACAGTTGCTAAGGGTTCCATAATGTCCACGTCAGATTGATCAATATCCCAGGCAAGAGGACAGATCTGTTGAGAAGAAAACTGATCTTCAAACTCCCCCCCTTTGCTTTCAACACTGTTCTGATACAAGTTTAATTGAAGATTCAGCTCTGTTCCATGGTCATCCGTAAAATTTGTCATCAAATCATGGGTGTAATTCGTCCCAGTCACGGAGGGTAAACCATTTAAGCCTTTTAGAGCAACAAAGAGCTTAAGTTCGTTAAGTAAAGTTACGGCTAAATCATCTGTCAGCTTGAAATGAAGGTCTCGTCCTACACATACTATGACCCCGTTGGAACAACTAACACTTCCGGACGTGATCATTGAAGACAATGACTCTTTAGCCCGTGGAACAATGGCCTCAGAAAAACCCTTCTTATGATCCAAACGATCCTCCACACCACCGCCACCATTTCCCATCACCTCACAAGTAGGGGTAGAAAATGAGCTCTTAGAATGAGAAACAGAGGTCAAAACTGGAGAAGGAGAAGGAGAGCATGCTACCCATTTATGTTTTTCAGTACGAGTCCATCGAGTGCCTTGGCGACTAGCTGAAGCAACCGGCAGTCTCCACTTTTCTTTCTCAGTCTGACGCTGAAATGAAAAAGATGAGAGAGTTTGGTTTTGGATTTGAGCTTGAACCTGGGCTTGTCTTTTAGATGGATCTGGTTCGTTAAGAAAGGAAACAGAAAGTGAGTTGGGTCCTCTAAATACCCGTCTTTTAGTGTGGGTTGTCTTAGGCCCAAAGTCAGGCTTGAACTTGAGCCCATTCCTCCCAGACCCAAAACTTAACACTTTAGCTTGCCCTGAACCCCTCCAACCTAAATCAACCTTAGGCCAATTTGTGCGGCCCTACCCAACCTCTTCACCAACCCTTGTAGATAGGGATAGGGACGAATCTGGAAGTGAGCCTCTACGAGCGCCATGTGTAATTTTATTCTTGTCAGCTGCAACGCGCGTAACCGGCGCGTCTCGGCTACTTGATTCCTCGCACGAATTTCACCGCCCTTTGAAGTTCTCTATCTTTCAGCCATTGTTGGACCTGTTACACCCCTTCTTTCCCTTTGTTAAGAAGTGAATTCCATCATTCCTCAGTCATAAGATGAGACCCGTCACTGCATTCAAGACTCTCTGTCGAGGGAACCAACTCCAGCGCGACTTCTTCCCAGATCGCCACCTTGTAACAGAAGGTGTCATCATTGATAAACACGAATTGCGGACAGGTCGATCCTATTCTCACTATAATCCGAACGCTTTCGGCGTCCCTTGTTTCATCTGCAACAACTCCCATAAATCCGCTGCACAACTCCCCTACTTCAACAAATAAAGCATGACACCATAGGTGAAGGGGCAGTCCAAACATCCGGATCTGTTTGAGACCTTTGTCTCTAAGGACGCCGCAACAACCAACCCTAAAAGACCACACATCGATCCACAAGGTTGCAGATCCCCATTGACGCCGGCCTTCCTTCAACACACGTTGAGCTTTTGCCTGAGAAGGAAACCTGAATAGTAGCAACGAATCGGATAAGGGAGTAACCCCCACTCCACAGGACGTATTCCATGCTCACACCGCCCCTTCCTCCACCCGATCACATCCCCCAACTTCCTTGTCAAAACGACCGACCAAGCAAGGTGAGAGAACTGATTTCCTCCCTCCGACGGGCTCCTCGTCGATGTACAAAGACGGCCCTCGATGTGGAACTGCTGACTTCACATCCCTTCTCAGTGAAATTCTTGGAATCCTTGCAATTTCTAAAAAAGATTTCATCGCAAACTGAAATTGAAAAACAAAATCACGATCGCCTTGAAATCGCCCCTAGTGGGCTAAAATCGCCCATAGTGACATTCTAATTTAGTAGTCATTTGATAAAAGAAAAATGATATGAATAAATTATTGAAAAATAGAGAACAAATTTCACTTACCTTAAAATATTCTGTTCATCTCTGTCAAGTGTCCCAACGGCAGGGGGAATCAAGAGAGGTAAGTGGAATTTACCCAAAAATTAAAAGACACTTTTTTTTTTTGGCCTGGGACATACTAAAAAGTGCATGCCAGTGAGCCTGACTGAAGGGGCTTGGCCTTTACTAGGTCAAGGCTCTCTAGCTGAGCCTCGACAAGCCTGGGGCTTTTTTAGAACCTAGGTGTGCCCTTAACAACTATGTTATGGGATGACACTATTGCAATCCAAGCACGATTAGTCAAACGTAAACACATTTATTTCATGTCGTATCAGTTTTTGTCACTCCTACCTAGTATTTTTATTTCGGGATGGATCAGTAATAGCAGGTTCATTCTTGTTTGAGGTGGTGGTCTATGTTTTCAAATTTTTAAAACCTAGACCGAATGCTTGCATTTATGATTGGATCATTAATAGCGGCACATGTCGCGTGACATCTCTCCCATTGCCATCCCCTATATGCCATGTTGCAACCGAGCTGCCTCCCACCCCTTTTTGGTTGTTAAGAAGACCCTCTCCTTTTGTTCACCTCTTCTTTTTACTTGCTTCAGGCACTTACAAAGACCCTTGTCCCCAACCTCTCTTGTCCCTTTTACCTTACTTCTCATATTTCAATTTCCGGCATACTTCCGATGCACACTTGGCTTCGTCCTTCTCTCACCACCAATCCTTCTCTTGAGTTAACAACTTCTCATGTTGATCTCTGAGCGATGCTACTGTCAGAGTCAATTCTGACATGGTTCTTCCAACACAGCCACCTGATAAAACACCTTCCCGTCCCCCGCCATCACAAAAGCGGGTATTTCCTCTCTGTCCAGGCCTAAAATTTTATTCTTTTCATGTTTACCTTTTCATTTGCTTTTACGCCCTTAAAATCACCACACTGATCCCCAATTGCAACGAATTGTGGATGGCACCATAGATGGAGCTGCACACCATACAATAGAATTCGCCATTCCTTGCTCTTCCTCATAATGCCAGAGAATCCCATTCTGTATTTAAAAAAGCATCTCCCCACTATGGTTTTCCCTTTTTTAAAACCTTATTTGCCTCATTGCGAGAATGTAGCTTGAATAGAAGTATTGGGTCCCCGGCAATGAAGTCACACACCCCAGTCATCACCATTCAAGACTTCATAGCCCACTCTTCTGTCTTCTCGAGGCTTGCGACTTCTGTGTAGAAAAAACCAAAAAGGCACAGTTATTAAGTCTCTTTCCTTCTCTCGGCACTCCCACATCCACTTTGATGTGCCCTCCGTTTGACGACAATAGCCCGAAAGTGAGAATGCGCGGTAGTCTTACTACCTCCAAAAACCTTCTCCTCTTCATACAGACTTGTCACAAACATAAGATCATGCTAAAGACAGGTCGACGCTTATCCTTGCCCTCTCTATCGCGCAAAGAATATAATGCAACTCTCTATTGCTGAAGATATCTTGAAATGCTGATGCTCAGTCTTTATAAGTAACATTACATCATCTATCAACGGAATTTTGTTTCATTACTTCTAATCCATGCCTTGGACTTGGAGTACTAATGCCCAGTTGCAAAGGTCAAATTGTAGTCTTTTATTTCTATCGTTCCAGAACATCAATTCCATGCTTGTCATTGCTAGTTTTAAAAAATGAAGACAAAAGCCCATAATGAGAGCATGTTGTTCACAGCATGAAATGTTTCGAATATCTAATTCAATCTGAATTTTTGCATTGTGTTTAGCTATAACTTCCCTCTTCTAGGGAATTTTATTATTATCATAGTTAGTAAATTACGCTAAGGAAAAAGAGAAGAAGAAGGATTTGGGAATGTATGAGTATAATTCGAATTTTTTTTTTTTTAATACATTGCAAAATTCGGCCAAATAAACGGAAAAGAAAAGTACGAATACGGATACATACATGTATAACACGTATGAGCTGAAAATTCGGGACAAAAAATTAAGCTATACACATCTTATGTATTTTCTTCTATATCATATACTTGTAAAGACAATAAAAGAAAATGTTACAATTAATAAAATAAAACCCATTTTATGCAAATTTACACCGTATGCCTCAACTTCCATCGTAGAATCTGGTATTAGCTTCGTGCATAAAGTTGAGTAAGTTGGTAATTTGTATGATTGAGTCATACAACGTAAATTCTAGCACTCAAATACAGATACACTCTTCACGAAATCAATAAAAGATCTAGTCTGAACCACATTGAATTGAATATCATTCGAAATAATATGCTTAGCAATTTTTTTATTTACCTCACTCCTATTTATTTTCTTAATTATTTCTGGCATGGTTTATTTGATGTGAACCCTTTGAAGATGAGGGGGGAAATTTAACAAGTCTACATTGTTCAACATCAGTTGAAGAAATGTAGTCTTAACTTTTTTTTTTTTTGTTCAGACCACCGGTTGCTAATAATGCAGCTGTTTGAGAAATAGTGCTTGAGAAAAATATAGAATTAAAATTGAAATGTAAATAAAAATAATTGGGTTATCAGGAAACATAAAATAGATAAATAAATAAATGAATTAAAGGGCTAAACATATAAAATCGTTTCATTTTGGTTAATAGTGAAAACCGTATCTTTCAAACTTCAATTTCAAGCGGGAGCATTTCCCAAAGCACCTTACGTACACGTCTAATTCGTGAATTTACTTCCAGGATTGTCATTTCTATTTTTGTACCTGATTCTTAAAAACAATCAAGAAAGATTCTGGCTTCATGTGATTAAAATGTTTATCTTTTCGTTGTTATTTGTTACTATATTTTTGCCTTTAATGCTGTTTTTATATTTTGCCTCCTTAGGAATCCTTCATCGAATGGTACGTGCCATTTACATCAAGGAAGGAAATTTTCCAAACATTGACAATTTTATTGCAAGTTCTGTATCTTTTATCAACGAAGGAAATTTTAAAAGCATCCACAATTGCATCCCCAATTTAGTCGTAAGTTCAATATATACATAACTTTAATTTTTTATTTTTTATTTTATTTTTTATCTAATTCAGATTTTTTTTAACAATTATATTGTTTGATCTTTAAACAACAGGTTTTTTGTGGACCCCAACAACTTTTTTTCGAACAGAAGCGCAACATTATATTAGAAAATTATGGGTTGTTCAAAAAGGGCAACACTGATTGGCATGTGGCTGGGGTTTCCAAGACCAGATATATCTCGATAAATGACTTCATGTGGTTGGTACTCTGGATTCCTAAAAAGTACAAAAAAAGGATTTATAATTACCTGTTTAAGCAGCAGATTTATGTTTTGGAGAGTTCTCCAATGACACTATTAAAATACTCAGTACTCTGTTCTTGGAGAGCACCATTCGATGGACAGTACAAGTTAAATGTTTCTGTGTTTTTTAAGAAAAATCTTGGTGGGACCAAGGAAGCTTGTTGTGGAGAAGTATTAAGAGATTGTAGGGGAAAGTACTCTGTTCTTGGAGAGCACCATTCGATGGACAGTACAAGTTAAATGTTTCTGTGTTTTTTAAGAAAAATCTTGGTGGGACCAAGGAAGCTTGTTGTGGAGAAGTATTAAGAGATTGTAGGGGAAAGATTTTGGAAATTTTCTATAAGCCATTTCCTGATGCAACATCTAGAGATGAAGTATTGTTACTTGGAGTGCTTCATGGGATAGATGAAATTCTTAAAAGGAGATTGGAAGCAAAGGATATATTATTGGAGATTAACCATAAAAAATTTGTCAAGGTGCTAAATCATGAGAACGATATACCAATTGAATGTCTTGGACTTTATCAGTAAGTTTTTTGTATAAAGTTCGAGTTTATTCTTAAAATTTATATTCAAGTTTCCAATTATATTGATATAAAACTATTGTGATGCAGCAAAATTTTTGGTTCGTTAGAATTTGATAAATATGAAATATCGTTTCAATATTTTCAAGGAAACACGGTAGCTAATAGAGTTGCGTATATAGCTTCGCATCTAACCGTGGGACAGAGTTTTCCCATAGGCGATAGAGGTTTTGAAACAGAAGTCAGGCATGATCGATTGAATATTCCACGATATGAGATCATCCCGAAAGAATCGTCTGATGAGGAATTTGAAGTCTGGTACTTTTACTTTTCTTATAGTATTCTAAATTCCTGAAATGAGAAAGTAATTACTGTGATCTTGTGTTGCTCACCCGGCATTAGAAACAAAAATAAATAATAAGGGGAAATTTAAATTTCTCTATTTCATCAGTGTTAAAGTAATCCTTGTAAGTGTGTGTTTTCTATATATTCTAGACTCCATCATGACAATCACACTTATTTCTGCTCCTATAAGCCTATTTTTACTAATACAATTTTCTTTACCTTTATTCTAGTAAATTACTCCGTATAAAGTTATCTAGGAGAAAAGAATTGTTAGCTGAATATATTTTCTGCAGACTGTTATCTGGTTCATTATGCTAGCAGCGAGTAGCTTATGAGCTGATCACAATAACAATGCCCTTTCACTGATTGTTCTACTCCAGTTTGTGCCCGCACTATATTTGATTTTCCTATTAAGTTCACTACTTATTAAAGCAACTGGTGTCGTCACAAAACCAGTTTTTAGCAAGGGATGCATATAATCTGATATTGTACATGTTTGCTTACTATGTAACTTTAAATTAAATCAATTTATGTTATTTATTTGTCACTTTATGCTTTTAACCAATTTAGTTGAAAACTTCTACCAGTGTTATGCCATTTGTGCTCATTTTTATCACTTTAATATTCCTTTTCTCAAATTTTTTTTTTTCCCTCTCTCTCAAGAGTTGCGTAATTGTGTTGGAATTGATGATTCAATTTTGTTCTTCCAGGTTTTAGGGGCACCATGGTATTTGCTGTCAGTGGACTGGTATGTATCGTGCTGGAAATCATATTGCAAAAAAGATTTTAGCCCTACAAAATGCCTTCTTAATTATTTGGAAAACTGGAATGTGACGCTCTTGACCATGACGAGGATTGCAAGAATTGGGCCAATAGTACAAACGTTTTTAAGAGTTGGATCCTGACAATCATGATCACTTTCAAGTATGTAATATTTTAAAAATGCAGTGACAAAAAGTGGTCTCCTCAAAGTTTCTTGAAAAGTCGGTTGGGTTTCCAAAACTTTAGGAATATTTTCTCCAATTTTTATTACTGGTATCCACAAACAACGAGGTTGTCTTTATTTCATTATTAGCAATTAGCATCAGTTCTGTATCCATTTTGAAAGTAATAATTCTCGTTCCATAAAACTTAAATGTGGAACGTCCCAATGTAAATTTATCATATTAGGTGCATCCAGCATGAATCATCGGCTAATTATTTGTTTGTATCTTATCATCATCGAATGAAATGATTATATATGTTTGGATGTCTTTCTTTCCTGTACAATTTAATTTTTTTTTCCCTTTATTTATTATTTTTTTCTTTGTTACTAAATCCAATGTCTATCTTTATACATCTACGGACACTGTCGATGAAATTCTTGCTCGATCATTACCTTATATATATCGAAAATGATTTCTTGTTTACTAATGAGCAAGAAATTCAATCACATTATACGGTTCCTTAGATATGATGGCTATATATCTATAGGACCCTATAGATATGCAAATTCCCTTATTATATAAAAAATATGCAAGAAACACCCCTATTAGAAAAGAAAAAAAATAAAATAAAAAATTGAATACAACTCATTGTATTATTCATCTTTTGAGCAATTTGTCCATCATTGAATGGATTCGTTGAAAAAGAGCGGCTAGTAATATTATTTTTTTTAAAAAAATTTAAAAGTGCTATTTTTGTTTGACAATAATGTCCCTACTAATTTTGTATGTATTTGAATATTAAATGGTTTTGTTTGAATGTGTTTCAAGACCTGTCCAAGGAAAATTCTTTGTATTGTCATAGTCTGTCTCTTTAAAAAATATATTCTCTCTAAAATATTTTTTGTGGCCGCCGATATTATCTCTATTTCTATTTTCTTTTTCTCCTAAAATTTTTTCTATGCCAATATTATCTCCTCTCCGAATGATAGATGCACTATATTTTATTGTAAATGAATGCGCCCCCCTTAATTATATATTTATCTATATCTATAATAATATTATTATTATTATTAAATAAATGGATTTGCTTTGATTCAAATTGTTATCAGATGAACTTCAGATTTCTACCAAAATTAAAATTTTGATCTAGTTACTCTTCGGCTGAACACATACTCAAGCAACACATTTTTTTTTAAAAAAAATTGTTTATTTTATTTTATTTTATTAATGTCTATTTTTATCATATAATGTGCAAGCCAAACTTTTTGAGTTTACTATTAACTTTTTTTTTCTCTTTTTTTTTCCAAGTCCGTTTACCATTAACTTTTCAAGCACAATTTCTCAAAAATCAATAATAAGTAGGATAAAATACAGTTAAAAAAAAAAATTATAATTGATAAGTGAGATTGACGTGTAGTTAGTGGCGTATGTCTAAATTTTTTTTTTAGCAACTATAGATTTATATATTGATATTCTTGAATGTATTGGAAGGACAATGGTTGAATTTGGTAAAAGGTAATTAGACACCCACATTCCAATTTTGTTTTAAATATTGGGACACTGATTTATAATCCTTATACTGTTATGTTATGTAATGACTTTAAAGGTAATTTTGATATTTTGCCCCCCTTTTTTTTACTAATGTTAAAGTAAGGTTAATTTAGAAATTTTATCACCAAAATTATGATTTGTCATTTTTTACACTTAACCTCTATATATATATATATGTGTGTGTGTATTTTTGGTAAACTACTCGTGGTTCGTAATGGAAAAATGCATATAAATTGAGCACCCATTTTTGGTAAACTACTCATGGTTCGTAATGGAAAAACGCATATAAATTGAGCACCCTCTTGGATTGAAGGTATGAATTCAAATTTTAGTTTTGTTTTGTTTCTTGATTTTTTCTTTTTTAATTTTTTTTTTTCTCAATATATATTTTTAGCTTTTGTACAAGGCATTCATTGAATAGAACATCATCAGTTAATAATCATATATAAGTCTTGTCAAATTTGGTTTTGAAGATATCCACTTTATCAATTTTGTCACCTTCGCTCCTTCCGACTCCAATTCCGAATCATATATTCCAACTAACAATTTGGATTCGGACTCGCGCTCTAAACAACAACTTCCTCACGCCCGAAATCACGAACGCAAATCCTCTGATGTAATTATTTCAGTAGTTTTCTGCAGCGGAATAATTCTTCTCCCTATATGCAAGCAAATATAATATATCTCTACTTTTATATGTGCTGAAAATAATAGAGAACAAATCAATCACAACAAGCCACAAGAACACAAGCAATTTTTTACGTGGAAAACTTTCCCAGTGTGAGGAAGAAAAACCACGAGACCTAGTCAAGTTAAAATCTCCACTATTAACCAAATAATGGGTACACAAAGTCTTCTCTAATCGCAATTAGAGGTTACAAAACGTCTCATCAAGATAACAACAATCTTGGCAAAAAGAAAGAGAATTGGAGAGAAAAATACCAAAACCCGGTTACTGTTTACGGGCACGAATCACTGTTCCCGAGTGCAAAATCCAATCTTCACCGTTCATATTTTAACTCATTGAGTCTTGAACCTCTCCTCTAAATTTCAGCTCGATCAGACCACGGACGAAGTGGGATCGGATATTTGATGAAATCTGGGCAGAATAGAAAAACCTGCGTTTTTCTACCAAAACCAGGTTACTGTTCACGAGTACGAATCACTGTTCCTGAGCTCAAAATCTGATCTCCATCGTTCAGATTGTGCGTCACTGAGTCGTGAACCTCTCCTCCAATTTTCAGCTTGATCTGACCACGGACGAAGCGGAATCGGACATTTGATCAAACCTGGGCAGAATGGAAAAACCTGTGTTTTTCTTCTCTTTGTTTTTTTCACTTGCGGCTAACCTCTCTCTCTTTTTATACTAACTTCCTTAGGGTTTTCTTTTCCCTAAAGGCTGGGCTTTGAGCTTTTAATAAAACCCACTTGGGCTTTCCTCCATATAGAAGGAAATAAACCCAACAAATCTCTCCCTTTCCGACTATGTGAAGGGAATCGCCATCCCGGCGATCGAATAACAAACTTCAAACTTCTCCCTTGGTAATGTCTTTGTCAACATATCAGAGCCATTATCATCAGTGTAAACCTTCTCAAGTTCAAGTAACTTATTGTTCAACGCATCTCTGATCCAATGGTATCGTACATCAATGTGCTTAGATCTTGCATAGAAACTGGAATTCTTAGCAAGATGAATAGCACTCTGGCTATCACAAAACAACACATACCTCTGCTGCTTGAAACCAAGTTCTCTCAAGAACTTCTTTGCCTATAGGAACTCTTTAGTCGCTTCCGTTGCTGCAATAAACTCTGCGTCTGTCGTAGAAAGAGCAATACACTTCTGAAGTCTCAATTGCCAACCTACAGCCCCACCTGCAAAAGTGATCAAATAACCCGAAGTAGTCCTACGAGTATCTACATCCCCTACCATATCTGCATCTGTGTAGCCAACTAACAATGGTTGTCCGTTTCCCAAACCAAGTCTTAAACTGGAAGTGCCTCGAAGATATCTCATGATCCACTTCACTGCATTCCAATGCTTTCTTCCCGGATTTGACAAGAATCGGCTAACTACACCAACTGCATGGGCTATATCTGGTCTTGTGCAAATCATTGCATATATCAAACTTCCTACTGCTGAGGTGTAAGGAACTCTTTCCATGTCTTTCTTTTCCTTATCTGTAGAAGGACATTGCTTTGTACTCAGTCTGAAGTGGGTAGCAAGAGGAAAGCTAACCACTTTAGTGTTGTCCACATTGAACCTCTGAAGCACTTTTTCAATGTACTCCTCTTGTGACAAATATAACTTCTTGGCGCTCTTGTCACGACTGATTCTTATGCTAAGAATTTTCTTTGATGGCCCTAAATCCTTCATAGCAAATGACTTACTCAATTGCTTCTTCAACTGTTCAATCCTTGAAGCATTCCTGCCAACAATCAACATGTCATCCACATAAAGCAGTAGAATAATAAAATCATCATCAGAGAATTTTTGAACAAATGCACAGTGATCAGAAGTTGTCTTCTTGTAGCCTTGCTCCCCCATAATAGATTCAAACTTCTTATACCACTGTCTCGGTGCTTGTTTCAAACCATATAGGCTTTTCGTCAGCTTGCACACATAATTCTCTTTCCCTTTCACTTTGAAACCCTCTGGCTGCTTCATATAAATCTCTTCTTCCAAATCACCATGAAGGAATGCAGTTTTCACATCCATCTGCTCAACTTCCAAGTCAAGACTAGCTGCTAGGCCGAGTGCTATACGGATCGATGACATTTTTACGACTGGAGAGAAGATCTCATCAAAGTTAATACCTTTTCTCTGACCGAACCCTTTGACAACCAATCTAGCTTTGTACCGTGGCCGTGAAGATAACTCATTTTGCTTCTTCCTATAAATCCACTTGTTTTCCAAAGCTCTTTTTCCTTTAGGTAGCTTCACTAACTCAAAGGTGTGGTTATCATGCAATGACTGCATCTCATCTTGCATGGCCTCAACCCATTCTGTCTTTTGTTCATCTTCTATGGCTTCTGCAAAACACTGGGGCTCTCCCCCGTCAGTCAATAACACATACTGCTCTGCTGAATACCGAGTGGAAGGACGTCGGTCTCTGGCAGACTTCCTGGATGGAATCACTGGTGGAATCTCTGGCGCTGTCAACTGCTCATCAGTCTCAATATCTCCCTGAACCTGTAAGGGAACATCCACATCACATGTACACTGGTGGTCATCCTGACCATCATTCTCAACCTGAGATGGCAGATTCTTCACAGGAGCTGGATCCATATCAGTCAAGATATCACCTTGTTGAGACATAAATTTCCCTGCTTTCTTAATATCCTGAATCGTCTGATCTTCTACAAACACGACATCTCTGCTTCTCACAATTTTTTTCTCAACTGGATCATAAAGCTTGTACCCAAACTCATCTTGGCCATAGCCAAGGAATATACACTGTCGCGTTTTCAAATCAAGTTTGAACCTTTCATCTTTTGGAATATGCACAAATGCTTTGCACCCAAAAACTCGCAAACGATTATAGGATACATCCTTACCTGTCTAAACTCGGTCTGGCACAGCAAACTGTAGAGGAACACAGGGTGTAAGATTCAACACATGAACAACTGTGCTCAATGCCTCCCCCTAAATTTTTTTTGGCAATTGGGCTTGTGAAAGCAAACATCTCATTCTTTCAACCAGTGTCCTGTTTATCCTTTCTGCTACGCCATTCAACTGAAGAGTTTTTGGAGTTGTCTTTTGATGCCGGATACCCTGT